GGCATGGCTGTAACAAGCTGGCCGTGGATTCTGTTCAGTGGGATGGCGAGTACTGCAGCAGCGAGTGTGTCGTAAAGCATTGCAGGTAATTTTAAAAGTCAAAAATATACCTCTATCGCAGCAGTTGCTATTCAGCATTGTAAATGAACGTGATATATGGACATTGTAAAAGAGAAAATTCATATCCGGCAAATAATTTATTATAATCACAGTTTCTAAGCTGGCTGCTTATTTGTCGCTTAGCGTATTAACGTGCTTTGTAACATGTTTATGCTGAGTTTATATGTCAGCTATTCTCAGTTGGCTTAATTTTAATCAGCAATTACCGTAATCGGCCGGATGACCTGGACTACTGACGTACGCATTGGTGAATACATCCTGTATACATTCCTGCTGCTTCGCGCGCTCATGCTAGAATACAGTAGATTTGCGCTTTCTCATGCTACCGACATGCTTCCTAATCTTCGGTGACAGGCCAATGAGCATAATGTAAAAGCATCTGATTTCATGCCACCGTGATGTTGAGAAAGAATTAACTTTTAATGCTCGTTATCGTCTTTTGTAGAGGAAGCGTTATGAGCATGGTTCCGATTCGACGGTTGCGGGCCCGTTCTACGGCTATTTTGCACTTCATCATTGAACGAAATTGCTGATATGAAATTTTTGCCTACTGCGACATGGAGCATTCTAAACACATGCTTGCTTTCTATGCTTTCTGTCCTATATCTTACAGTAAGACTTCACTACAGTTCATGGTATCGATGTGCAAACGTGAGGATTTTGATTTGCATTTCTTCCCACTTACTGCATGCGCGCAGTTTTAAATAACAATTTTCCTCTCTGATGTATTTCTTAGACAAGAAAGCTTGAAACAGATTGAGCCTGGTCCATGAAAGTATCTTTGTTAGCATGCCCTTTCTGAGTTCATTTTATTTTTTCTCAATATGGCAGGCGATGAATTTTCATTTTTTTGACGCAGATGCTGAAGTTCGACTATTTAAAACATGTATTTGGCAAACTAAATTCAATCAAAAAGGCGAGAACTCATATTGGAGCACCGTCAATGTTACAGTAAGGTTTAAAATTCTAAAGGTCATGCTTGAACGCGTATGTGGTGGTGGCGATGTGGGTGTGTATGCACAGCATTTCAACACTTTTGCTATTAGGAATCAGACCTTAAATCGCAGGAAGAAGTATTCCTCTATGAAACCTGATGTGCCTCAGCTGTGTTCCTTTATGTTACATCTTCTACCCTGCCATATTTCGGCTCTCACAAGGGAAGCTCGTGAGTTGAAGCAAATGATTTATGCCCAAATGGTTTGTCTAACATGGCCAACGTATTTCTGTTAATCTCCGCATCAGCCTAAGTAACCTGTGCGCGAAAGAGAACACAATGTGCCCTTAGTTGGTGCTGCCATTTAATCATCATTTGCATCGAATCCATCACTGCTCTTCGCAGTTCAATCACGTTCTTGCCTTTTAGTTAGAACATCTGTCTGTCTGATACATTAATACCAATCTAATAGAGACGAGGTACATTACGATGCGGATTACAGGCGCATTTTTTTGACTAAAGTAGCTTCTTTCTCAGCCGAAGTGGTGGACAGGTTTCCGAAGACACTCGATGTTGGAATGATCCTCCTATCTGACTCTGACTAGATGGAACCAGATAAAGCAGAGATACTGAAACTGATCAACCTCCTGAAACACCCCACTATCCTGTTCCAGTTGTAAGTCAGCTGTGACGGATGGTTCCTTCATGGTACTTCCGTGGTGACTTCGGGTTCGTTAAGGAAGAGGCCAGCTTTCGCGTTTATGTTGCATACGGAAGCCGTCGGGTGGCAGAGTTCACACCCCGCACTACTTCTCATCAAGACAATGTCATCTGCGTATCCAGAATTATGCTTTCCTCTAGAACGACATCTTTGTCAGCACCCTTTCAAAAAGAAATTCGAGAACAATGTTGCATAGCAAAGGCGATAGTCCATGCGATATTCATCCTTCTGCGAACTCCACATTTAACAGAGCCCTCAGATAGCTATTCAACAACAGGCATAGTTCCTGACAGTACACGTGGTTCCTGCATATATCCCGTCCAAAACAAAAACGGCGTGCTTAGACACCTCAATCATTTTTCACATAGGCAGAAACGATATAGTGAATTAAATACAGCAATTAAATGAAGCTGAGGAAACATGCAAACCAATGCAACCTGGAATCGTCCACACTGCTTGGTGATGCTACGCAGAGTGAAAATATGTGGGGGAGCGGGGTGCAGGAGTATCCAATCCGGAAGCCTGCCTGCTTCGGGCGAGGTTTACCATCAGCTGCCTGTCTTAGCCTTTCCAGGATACTCCAGGAGAAATGTATTACGGGTGTTGACAGTCGTGTGATACAGCGATAATTGGAACACTAGGTCACTGGACGCTCTAAATACAGGGACACTTACTCCACATTCCCATTCTTAAAGAAAGAGTTTGTTGGTCCACATGTGATGAAATAGGGCATGGTGCTATTCTACCATTACCATTCCTCTGTTCTTAACTAACTCTGGAGGAATTTAATTCATCCCGCGGGCCTTCTTCACCCTGTGATGTATCAAAGCCTTTAGGATTGCTAGTTTGGTAAGCGGATCTGTAATAGCTTCT